ATCAGAGTTCAATTGATGTTGAATCACATTAAGATCCTCTTTTGCCCTAAGCACTTGTTCACTTATATTCATAAAATTCCTTTTGTTCAGATCCTTCATTTGCCCTAAGCACTTGTTCACTTATATTCATAAAATTCCTTTTGTTCAGATCCTTCAGAACATGCTTGAACTTCTTTAGTTTTGCATGGAGCTTATACATCTGATAGCCATCTTGCTCCCATGTGTTCTTAACTGCTTGAAGAAAATCAAGATGAGAACTCCACATTTTAAAATTTATTATTAATAACTTGAAATAACATAAATTACAAATACAAAAAAAGTATAAAAATAAAAGATGATAAAAAATAACTTCTTTATTAATAATCAGTAAATCTTTTACAAGTATAAATTTATTTCAGAATTCGTCGTATCATAATAGATAAGTACATCCCAACTAGGTTAGCACCTACTCACCTATATCACCATTATTTGTAACTATTTTTAAAATAATTCATTACACATTTAAAGCTAAGAAATAAAAATTATAATTTGATGAATATTGTTTAATCTATATATCTATCTGCTAGTCCTAACTCTTTAAATTTATCTTTAATTCCAGCCATCCGATCGATGCCTTACGTTTGCTTTTCGTACCTCCACCAATCTTGTAAGCACATTACCGTTTGTACAGTATACGGATCTAAGCATGTCCTGTGGTCGTCTATCAAACGTCCTGCTATGCTGAAGGCGGATTCCGAAGCTACCGTCGAAACCTGTACTGTTAGTAAGTCACGAACCATGATGGAAAGTATATGATATGAAACTGATCCATATACTCTCCACCATTGCAAAATATCTAAAGTATTTCCTTGACATTTAACTAAAGAAGATGATAAATATTCATCTATTTCAGAAATCTCCAACAATGATCCAAGTCCAGACCCACCAGTTAGCTCAGCTACCATTGTATGCCTATCAAAACTTACACTTTTACCTCGGCTTGAGCTTGAAGGCGCCGAAGCTGCAGACTGTTGTGCAGCTACACCATGTCTAGCTGCATACTCATCATATAATGTTTGAAAATAATTTTTAATAGCTAAATGATGAGAAGTAGCAGTAAGGGTGGATCCATCATCTAAGTCTATAATCTGTCTACCATACAATGATTGTAACAAACTTTGAAGGCTAATATCCTTTAAACATGGATCAATAAGAACCCTTAAACCCAAAATATGAGGAATATGCCTAAAATACTTATTAAATTTGCTCTCCATTTGAAAAATTATAGCTCCAAAAGTATCATCCATACGATGTTTGGTAAAAACATTTTGAATATTTAAAATTTATAGAGCAGCTAAAGTAATAGTTAGATAATAACAACCAGATAATAACATAGTAGCATAATGAAAAACTTGTAACATCTCATTTAAATTACATATAATTGTCCATTCATCTTCAGTTATTCCATAAGTGCTACCAGAGCTAGAACTAGAAACATAATAATTTATAAAATCATTTATAATTTCTTTATATTCTATTGCCACACTTAACATTGCATAGGTGGAATTCCGCCTATGGTCAATATCTTTTGGACTTAGTCTAGCCTTAATATTTTTTTTTTACATATTTGTTTCCATCTTTTAAGTCTTTGTTCAGAAGCAATACGCATATAAGAAACTGTTCTAACCTTTTCTATCATGAGTTTAATTTTAGTAAATGCACTTTGAATAATTAAATTTAAAATATGCTATATACATCTAATATGAAAAAGTTTACCATGACAGGGCAATGATAGAGTTATTTTAAGAAAATCTACAGCTACATTGTTATTACTTGTATTATCTAGTGAAAGAGAAAATATTCTTTGATCAATTTCTAGTTTCGTAAGTTCTTCAACTATTAAATTGGCTACATTAATACCAGTATGTGACTCTTCAATTACAATAAAAGAAATAACTCTTTTAAACATTTGCTAATTTTTATCAATCCAGTATGCTATGATACATAAATAACATGCTTGTGCTGTAGATGTCCAAATATCAGAAGTTAAAGAAAATTTACAGTTTAAATTTTTAAAATAAGAAATTATTTTTCCTTGTTCCGTTTGATAATGTTTTAAAATATCACATTGACAGGTTTGACGGGAATTTTTTTAAAAATCGGGATAAAAACCATCTCTAAACAAATCTTCAAATTCATCATCTTCTACTAATTTAAAAGGAAGATTTTTAAGAATGATAAACTTGATGACGTATTTCCTGGCTCGGGCAGCGTCATAATTCTAAGTACCGAGACTACCAGAAAAGGAGGATTGGGAAATCATAGATTGTTAAATATCACCTTGAGGAGTCTAACATTTGTTGTGTTTTTCTATATGGCGTTTGAGGTGGTTGGTGCCGCTCTTATGATGAGCTTGGAAAATCCGGTCGCACAGCGCACATTTAGCCTTCTGGGTGAGGATCCTACCGTGTTCATCTTTGGTGATGTCTATCTTCTAAAAAAAGTTCCACACATCGGATCTCGGTCTTTTAGGAGCTTTTGGTACAAATTTGTCACCACTGGATTCGGGATTATCACTGGTAGGATCGATAGGAGGAGTAGTTGTTGTTATAGGGGGACTCATTTTAATATCGGTAGGAGATAGATTTTGCTCTTCATAATCAGATTCGGAAGTCATTTGATGAAAGGATTAGAAAGTATAAGAGATTATAAGAGAGTATAAGATTGTATAAGAGGGTATTAGAGAGAAGTAGATGAGTTTTGATGTGAGGAAAAGAAGTGAAAACCCCCATCTATTTATAGAGAGAGCCTCCTAGGCAAATGATCAAAAAACTCTCACCAAATAGCCGTTTTTTGACCATTGTAAGGGGTAAAAAGGTTAAAACGCTAAAATAGCCGTTTTGGTCGGCCCGGCCCGGCCAAAACGGTCACAAATATGACCGTTTGGCGAAAACGATCACCTTTGGTGACCGTTTTCGCCGGGCCGGGATTGGCGCGAGTCTCGGCCGAAAATCGGTTCTTTTGCCCGTAAACGGTCCACCGAAGGGTGACTGTTGACGGACCCGGGTTACCGGTCACCAAGGGTGACTGTTGAGGCAGCGCTCGGCTCAGGGCACCGAGCGAGCCCGGACCGGTTTCATTGGCGGCGGTCGGGACGTCCAGGCCGGGCTGGGTCTGGGTCGGGCGTCAGCAGGGGGACCCGAACCCGAGTCTAGCCCGGGTTTCCGGGCCGGGTTCCGAACCTCAGGACTTTTTGGACAGGGCTATATACATATATATTATTAATAAACGGCCCAAGCCATATTGGATCCATTTCCACCCTACTTGTAATTCTTTTGGACGATTCAATTTGCGAGTTTAATTTTATTTAACTTCTCTCATATAGACTCATATCTACGGTCTATATGAGGGTCCTACTAATAAAATATAATTCAAAAGGTGTCTTCGCAATCAGCTTTAAAATATCAGAAAATTCATCATTAGAAAACTGAGGAAATAAAGAGAAAATTGTCTTTGCTGTTGAAATCCAAAAGTCATTTTGAGGAAACCTAAAAGACAAAATGAATGTGGACATTACTTTATTAATGTGGAATATTTATTGGTGACTTTTCATTAGTCCAATGTCTTTTTGTTTTCCACAATGTATCTATAAATTGGTAGATGTATGGAAAAAAGGATTGAAATGAAAATTACAATTTATCTTATTCTCTTGTCTCTTGTCCATCTTTCGTTTTATTTCTTTAGTATATTACAACACGTTATCAGCACGATTGGCTCTAGCTGGTCGATCATCGGTTCGTGGTAATAGATTTTTCGGTATACATCTTCTGTAAGCATTTCTTATCCTTCAATTTTTTTATTTTCTCATGATCGCCTCGTCTTTCATAATTGGCCAGTGTTCACTTCTCTCTTGGGTTTTATTTATTCATCATTTGTTCTAATATTAGTTCATCTATGATTCTTTGGCTACAAATTCTTCCATTCATTTATGAGTGGTTGTGCTATCTTACACCCGATTAATCTATAAACTCTCAAATCCGTTTATTTCATGACTATATCCAAAAGTTTTCATGATTAGATTACATGTTTTATAAATACTTTCTTTTACATAAATACTTCTTTTATTATTAGTTCATTAGTTGCTTAGGCAGAAATGAATTATGCATAGCCCCAGGAACTAATTTGTCCCCGTGCAAGTTTCAGGGCAGTAGCTGTAAATAAATGAAAGTTCATGGCCAATATTTATTTTCATTGTTTTCCTATTTCTCGAGACTAACTGTAGCCATGTACATTAGTAGACTTCTCCTTCCATGTCGTTTCATATAAATTTTGATGTTCTTGAAAGTATAGTGCATACATAAATGATTATTTGGTTACTAAGTACATTTGATTATTTTGTTTCAGCATGAATAAGGTTCAAGACTCTAGAATAATCATGCTAAATGCCCCTGTAACTATTGATAGTCTATATGAATCATTCGATAGCTCTTATTAATTTTTTTTTTCTTTTATGCAAACTACACGAATAATATCAATATGGTCCCCAGATGATCTCTGTTATACACTAGACTCATTTTCTTGATATAGTCCCCAGAATATGGGTATCCTTGGACATTGGTCCTTGGTTATGAGATGATCACTTCTTATCTACACATTAAAAGGTGGGTATCCTTGGACATTGGTCCTTGGTTATGAGATGATCACTTCTTATCTACACATTAAAAGGACACCCCTTGAAGATGATCCCACTTAATTACATGAGATGATCACTTCTTATCTACACATTAAAAGGACACCCCTTGAAGATGATCCCACTTAATTACTCACTCAGTCTGGTTTAATACAATTTACAAATGCACACATTCTGTTGATTACTTGTCCTAGCTAATTAGAACAGAGGCATGCATTGTGGCTCCTTTATTTATTCACTTATGTTTGTATGCACATCTTGTATAGTGTAATATTTTATAAATTTGGTGGATTGATATATCTTCTTTTGATAATTATAGCATTTCTGAACAATGTCTGACATCATCAAAAGGGAATTTGCTGAGCTTGCCGTTGATGGCAGCAATTACTTGACTTGGGCTTTAGATGTTGAAATCTACCTGAATTCTTGTGATTTAAGCAACACTATTGATCCAGCTTCTCAGAGCACCTCTGCCCAGAAGGCAAAGGCATTGATTTTTCTTTGTCATCATCTCAACAAAGACCTGAAAAATGAGTACCTTACTGAAAAAGATCCTGATGTTCTATGGCAATCCCTGAAGGATCGCTTTGACCAACAGACGGCTATTATGCTTCCGCAAGCACAGTATGATTGGTTAAACTTGCGATTTCAGGATTTTAAATCCGTAACTGAATACAATTCAACCCTCCACCGCATTGTCTCACAGCTGAAGCTCTGTAAGCAGAACATACAGAGGCTGAATTGATTGAAAAGACCCTCTCTACATTCCATGCAAGTAATCTTGTACTCCAGCAGCAGTACAGGACCAAAAACTATTCAAAACACTCTGAATTGATCTCTGCGTTACTAGTTGCAGAGAAACACAACCAACTTCTGATGCGCAACCATAATGCTAGACCAGTTGGTTCGCTAGCTGTGCCTGAAGCACATGCCACAAATCAGAGTAATACTCATAGGCGTGGACGTGGTAGAGGTCGTGGACATGGTCGCGGGTCTTATCGTGGTGGTAGGGGTCGTGGTCGTCGCAATGCTAATAGTCTTCAAGACCGTAACAAGGGTCAGAACAAGGATAAACCTCATTCACACAAGCCTAGCTCTCATCAACAGGTTACAAATAACAAACAAGCTTGTTATCGGTGTGGATGTGAGGACCACTGGTCTCGCACATGTCGTACACCGAAACATTTGGTTGAGGCATATCAGAGAATGCTGAAGGACTCAAAGGGGAAGTCAAAACATGGTGAAACACATCATGCCAGTTTGCCTGAAGCAAACATGACCCTGAAAGATGACAATTATGATGATATGGACGATGATGACTTATTGAACATGGAGCTTGATGATTTTGGTGACCAGGAGTGATCATGTTATGCATGTTTTATTAGTCTATTTTAGTTTTTCAAGACTTGTTCTAGTTGTTTGTATTCTCACTAGGCTTATTTTACATGTTTTTCCTAAGAAAATTTTAATTTCAAATGGGTTTATTTAAATTATTATGTCTTTACCTTGTTTTTGTGCTTATATGAATTTTTCAATTTTTAGAATAGTGCACAACTTTCCTCGCGTACAACCCATGGAGAAGGAGACAGTTTTGTGCTTGGTAGATAGTGCTACCACACATACTATCCTAAAAGATAGAAAATTCTTCCAAACTTTGACTGAAAAACAAGGAAGTGTAACCACCATTGCTAACGACAATGTGTTGATAGTAGGCTCCGGCAGAGCTTCACTAATACTTCCTATGGGTACGGAATTAATTATCAATGATGCATTATTATATCTAGAATCCAAACGTACCCTTCTTAGTTTTAAAGATATTCGGTCTAATGGTTTTCATATTGAAACCGAAAATGAGAATAGTGTTGAACATCTTCTCATGACTCGGTCAATTAGATGTCGGAAGCAGGTTATAGAGAAGCTTCCATCTTTCTCCTCAGGGTTGTACTACACATATATCCGACCTAATACTAAGCATGTTGCGATGAGTTTAAAATTTAAAGACCCAAATTCATTTAAATTATGGCATGAGCGATTGGGTCATCCTGGGCAAAATATGATGCGTCGGATAATCTTAAATTCAATTGGGCATAATATGCCAAGCAGCAATGTCCCCTCTTCTTTAGACTATATTTGTGAGTCTTGTGCTAAAGGAAAACTTATAGTACGCCCTTCTCGTACTAAAGTGAATGTTGAATCTCTCATTTTCCTTCAAAGGATTCAAGGAGATATCTGTGGACCTATTCATCCTGCATCAGGACCATTTAGATACTTTATGGTCTTGATCGATGCCTCTACTCGATGGACTCATGTCAGCTTGTTATCCACCCGTAATAATGCTTTTGCTAAATTAATAGCAAAGATCATTAAATTACGAGCTCAATTTCCTGATTTTCCAATTAAATCTATTCGTATGGATAATGCTGCCGAGTTCACATCCAAATCATTTGATGATTTTTGTCTGGCATTGGGCATTAAAGTAGAGCATCCGGTTCCTTATGTCCACACTCAAAATGGTTTAGCAGAATCGTTAATTAAGAGAATCAAATTAATAGCTAGACCGTTATTACAAAATTCAAAACTACCTATTTCTTGTTGGGGACATGCCGTTTTACATGCTGCTGCGTTAATCCAAATCCGACCCACTGCATATCATGATTATTCCCCCTTACAACTAGTGCGTGGTAAAGAACCAAACATTTCCCATCTGCGTGTTTTCGGATGTGCAGTTTATGTTCCAATATCGCCACCCAAGCGTACCTCTATGGGACCTCAGCGAAAACTAGGTATATACATTGGTTATGAAACTCCGTCAATTATAAAATACCTAGAGCCCATGACAGGGGATCAATTTACTGCTCGGTACGCTGATTGCATATTCGATGAAGATCATTTCCCGACATTAGGGGGAGATAAACACCAAAAATTAAATGAATGTCGGGAAATATCGTGGTATGAAAAAGATCTTCAATATTTAGATCCACGAACTAGTCAGACTGAACTTGAAGTTCAGAAGATAATTAATTTGCAACATTTAGCAAATAAGCTGCCAGACGCATTTACTGATCACAAAGGAGTGACCAAGTCCCATATTCCTGTTAAAGGAGTGACCAAGTTCCATATTCCTGCTGTAAATGCACCACAAAGAGTGGAAATCCCACAGGGACTGAGTATATCAAATGATACTCCACTACGCCAGAAGCGTGGGAGACCGATCGGTGCGAAAGATAAGAATCCGCGGAAAACTAAATATAATAAAGAAAGTCAGTCACTCCCAAAACCTCCTGAAGAGGATCGTCCTGAAGGCGAAAGCTCCAGTAAAATTGCACGTGCACTTGATAATCATCATACTGGGGTTGCGGAACAACCAAATCTAAATGATATGGGAAATGATGATGATTTGGTGGATATAAACATAGAAGTAGCTACAAATTTTGTGAATACCGGAGAAACATATAATAGAAATATAACAGTTGTCGACAACATATTTGCCTTCACGATTGCTCTTAACATCTCCAATGATAATCTGGATCCAGAGCCTAAGTCGATAGCAGAGTGCCGGAAGCGCTCAGACTGGGTGAGATGGAAAGAAGCAATAGAGGTAGAGCTCGACTCGCTAAATAAAAGAAAAGTATTCGGACCTGTAGTCCGTACACATGATGACATTATCTCTGTAGGATATAAATGGGTCTTCATACGAAAAAGAAATGAGAATAATGAGGTGGTGAGATACAAAGCGAGGTTAGTAGCTCAGGGGTTTACGCAGAGACCTGGCATTGATTTTGATGAAACATATTCTCCGGTTATGGATGGTATTACGTTCCGCTACTTAATATCAATGGCAGCAATAATGAATTTAGATATGCAGTTGATGGACGTCGTGACCGCATATTTATATGGGTCACTGGACGCTAATATTTATATGAAAGTCCCAGATGGACTTAAAATCCCTAAATTGAGTGAAAATGAAAATCGCAACATGTATAGTATTAAATTACAAAGGTCATTATACGGCTTAAAACAGTCGGGTAGGATGTGGTATAATCGACTGAGTGATTTCCTCCTGAAGAGGGGATATGTAAATAACGACTTATGCCCTTGTGTGTTTATAAAGAAAAAAATGGCTTCTGTATCATCTCAGTTTATGTTGATGATATAAATATTATTGGAACACACAAGGAGCTTACAGAAGCTAGCTCATGCCTAAAGACGGAGTTTGAAATGAAAGACTTGGGAAAAACCAAGTTTTGTCTCGGCCTGCAGATCGAGTATTTCCCAGAAGGAATTTTTCTACACCAGTCGACCTACGTGAAAAAGGTCTTGGAAAGGTTTTATATGGACAAATCTCATCCACTTAGCACACCAATGGTTGTCCGGTCCCTCGAAGTGGATAAAGACCCATTTAGACCCAAAGAAGATAATGAAGAAATGTTAGGGCCAGAAGTTCCCTATCTGAGCGCCATTGGAGCACTTCTCTATCTCGCAAATTGCACCAGGCCTGATATAGCATTTGCGGTGAACTTGCTAGCAAGGTATAGTGCTTCTCCTACAAGGAGGCATTGGAATGGTGTTAAACATATCCTTCGTTATCTTCAAGGAACAAAAGATCTTGGACTATTCTATAAAAGAAACCAAGATATGACATTGGTGGGCTATTAGAACGCTGGCTATATATATGATCCCCATAACGCCAGATCCCAGACTGGTTATGTTTTTCTCTGTGGTGGTACTGTCGTTTCTTAGAGGTCTGTTAAGCAGA